GCATCTGACAGCATGAAACAGAACCTGATTGTTGCAGTGAAAGATAATGGACAGCCCTCTCTGTCTGCCACCTGTGCCATGTTTTTACTTATTTCTGATAACTTGGCTGAAGTTCCTGAACTGAAGGATATTTCGCATGATGAGAACAACTCCAAACTCACTTCGTATCTGATCATCGCATTGGTTTCTGTGTCCACCTTCTTTCTGACTTTCATTATCATCATCCTGGGTGTGAGGTTTTGTCGCAGGAGAAAGCCCAGACTGTTGTTTGATGGAGCAGTAGCCATACCTGGAGCTTATCTTCCTCCTAATTACTCGGATGTAGACGGCACAGGAACTTTACGCAGCACCTACAATTATGACGCCTACCTGACAACAGGATCTAGAACCAGTGACTTTAAGTTTGTATCGTCTTACAATGACAACACGCTGCCTGCTGACCAGACTCTGAAGAAAAGTCCGACAGAGTTTGCCGATGTGTTCCGAGACAACAAGGACTTTCCGGAGGTAAAACAAAAATATATATGTTTCGTTTTCCTCCCTAATAACTTCATGGTCGCTCTTTTTCATATTTATTTACTCATTTTTCATACCACTTCTCATAGGAGGATTCTCAAACGTTTTTCATTTTTCAGAGATATTTTCACCAGAATTGATATAATAACGTACTCAACAATTTTTTTCTTTTAATTTTTATGCTCGTCTTCGTTTGTCATCCCTTTGAATACTTTGGAATTTCCGTCATGGATACTCCCTACCTCTTTAGTCATTTTTATCCCCACACTTTTCCTACATTCACCAAGTATTCTTCGCTCTAGTCTGACTCAACCATTTTATAATGCATATACAATTCAGTGTCCTTTTTTTCTTTGATTTTGTCAGGTCATATGTTATCGTTTTCTCTTTTTTTAATTCAACCTATTTCATTTTTTAAGCTATAATTACCGTATGCATATTTTTCCACACTTTCAAACAGAATAACTTTTCATTAGTTTTCTAAAACATATTTGAACACTTGAGGTAGTTTTGAGCACTTTATTCACTGATTCACTGGCTTCTCCTTCTGAGAATTTGTTCGACATCCATAATATGAAACTGTCATATATTATAAACCATCGATTCACATGTTGGTGCGTGTGGCAAGATGATTCATTCATTGTTTAAAATTTTTACGGCTTGCTTGTTTGTCAGTGTTCTGTGTTTTTGCATTCCAAGTATGTTTTGACAAACTTTTCTGTGAATATTAAAATGCGGGGGTTTTATTGTTAAAATTTAACCGAGTTCAATATGAATGCTCGCTTTCCGCGATTACTGCTAAAAGCACAAAATGAGATTGATAAGACATAAAGCGACTTCCGTTGTTGTATGACAACAACGGAATTGTATGTTCCCCAGTTACTGGCTCACAGGTTTCCCCGATTTCTCCAAATGAGATATCAGCTTTGCTTATGCCTCTGTCCCGGGTGCTGAAATTGACTGCTTCACTAGTCGTTGAAATTTATGAATAACCCACTTATTTAACATGCCGTAAGACATTTAAATCAAAGTTTTATCAATACCTTCTCATTAGATCATAGCATTACATGTTATAATCTCTGATTAAAAAATAAATAAATATGAAGTTAATAATAGTAATAAGGTTGAATGGTTGGATCTTTGAATACTTCAAAAACTTTTACCAAGTTATTGGTGTTTTAACTTTGTCCTCACAAAAAAAAACACCTCAACAAAAAACAAAGCAATGTGTGTTGTAGTTCATGATAATCGTGAAAATATTTGTGAGATCGAATTAGAATTTATTTCATTGAAATACGGAGCCGACGTGGTAATGATTACTTTAGTTTTTTTGTTTGTTTTTTTTTCTCATTCAGTGTTTCCACGTTTTTTCTTTACTGAAAACAAACGTGTATCATCACGTTCACTTGAAAGGCGTTTCCATTTATATTTCCGCAGACCGATATAACAATTTTCAACTACGAAAAACCACATGGAATTTCAGATTCTACTTTGGGAAACTCACAGCGCTTCCTGCGTTATAACTACACGGGAATAACATTTTACAATTGACCCTTTACGGTAATGATACAAAATAAGTGTCCAATTTTACTTAAATGAAAATTCATTTTTTGTGTAATTTAATATTTTAATGGACACATTTTCTTTTCAAAACAGAGATCGTGATTTTGATAGCTTTTGTTGAGTTGTAATTTTTTTAGCTATACTCAAGGTGTCACTAAAGACCAGCAACGCGTTTAACCCCGAAGATGTTTTGCACACGATCTTCCATGAGGACTGGGAAGTATTTCGTCTTCTTTCTCTAAAGCTGGAGCGAAACCCACTGAATGCTGAAATTGTAATCGAAAATTCGTCATTACCGAAAACTTATCCGGATTATTTTATTGTCTGAAGATGGCGCGTGAAACACGTTTTCCCGGGATCTATGGGCTCCTCTTTGTCCTTTTTGTTGAACACTGCACGCAGGGAGAACTGACCTATTCCGTTCAAGAGGAGCTGAAGCACGGATCTGTCATCGCAAATGTTGCCAGGGATTTAGGACTGGAATCGCAAGGAATCGATGCTCGTAAAGCCCGTGTAGAAATGGAAGGAAGCGAGAAGGAGTACATCAGAGTTGACCCGAGAACCAGAGATTTATTGATCGCCGGAAGAATAGATAGAGAGGAGCACTGTGGACAAAAGCCGACCTGTGTTCTTAAATTTGACCTGCTTTTAGAAAATCCACTGGAACTGCATAGGTTGTCCCTTCAAGTTGATGATATAAACGATAATTCTCCACTGTTTCAAAAAGATACAGTGAAGCTGGAAATCAGCGAGTCCGCTGCCAAAGGAGCCAGGTATCGCATTAATGCAGCGCACGATGCAGATATAGGCCAGAACGCCATTCAAAGCTACACCCTAGAACAAAACCCCCATTTTGTATTTAACATTCAGACGACTAGTGCTGGCAGTAAATATGGAGAATTAGTCTTAAATAAAGAGTTGGATCGGGAAGAGCAGCAAGAATTGAAATTATTGCTAAGAGCTGTAGATGGTGGATCTCCGCAGAGATCAGGGACTGTACTAATACATGTTACTGTGCTCGACGCTAATGATAATGCTCCTGTGTTTACCGAGGCTGTGTACACAGCCAGTTTACCGGAAAACGCTCCTTTAAATACTCCAGTTATCATAGTCAGTGCAAAAGATGTAGATGAAGGTGTTAACGGCAAGGTGACGTATGAGTTTGGCCGACTGTCTGAAAAATCAAGAAAGATATTTTCACTTAATGAAAAAACAGGAGAAGTAATTGTAGCAGGTCAATTAGATTATGAAGAGGGATCAAAGTATGAACTAATGATTGAAGCCAAAGATGGTTATGGCCTGTCTTCAGAAGCTAAAGTGATTATTGACATCACGGATGTGAATGACAACGCCCCATTAATATATGTAAAATCCTTGTCCAACCCCATACCTGAGAATGTGTCACCTGGTACAGAGGTGGGCATCATTAATGTACAGGACAGAGACTCTGAGAATAACAGACAGGTCCGCTGCTCCATCC